AAACCATGACATTTACTAAAGCTATTGGTTCCATTTTTTACAGAAATCATCCATTACTTGTAATGTATTTACAATGTGCCTTAATTGCAATATTCAAATCATATCCATCATTTGGTGATACCGTAATATATTTGGCATTACTACCAGTTTGGTCACACGTATTCACATGTAAGTATAGTTACACGTATTCTCATGTAAGTATGGTTACAAGTATTCACATGTAAGTATGGTTACACGTACTCACATGTAAGTATGGTTACACATATTCACATGTAACTATGATTACACGTATTCACATGTAAGTATGGTTACACATATTCACATGTAAGTATGGTTACACATATTCACATGTAAGTATGGTTACACATATTCACGTGTAAGTATGGTTACACATATTCACGTGTAAGTATGGTTACACGTATTCACATGTAATTATGGTTACACAGATTCACACATAATTATGGTTACACGTTTTCACATGTAAGTATGGTTACACGTGTTCACATGTAAGTATGGTCACACGTATTCACATGTAAATATGGTTACACATATTCACATGTAATTATGGTTACACAGATTCACATGTAATTATGGTTACACAGATTCACATGTATGTATGGTTACACAGATTCACATGTAAGTATGGTTACACTTATTCACATGTAATATGGTTACACAGATTCACATATAATTATGGTTACAACAGATTCACATATAATTATGGTTACACGTATTCACATAATTATGGTTATACATATTCACATGTAAGTATGGTTACACATATTCACATGTAAGTATGGTTACACATATTCACATGTAAGTATGGTTACACGTATTCACATGTAAGTATGGTTACACGTATTCACATGTAAGTGTGGTTACACGTATTCACATGTAAGTGTGGTTACACGTATTCACATGTAATTATGGTTACATGTATTCACATGTAATTATGGTTACACGTATTCTCATGTAAGTATGGTTGCACATATTCACATGTAAGTATGGTTACACATATTCACATGTAAGTATGGCTACACAGATTCACATATAATTATGGTTGCACATATTCACATGTAATTATGGTTACACGTATTCACATGTAATTATGGTTACACGTATTCACATGTGAGTATGGTTACACGTATTCACATGTGAGTATGGTTACACGTGGTCACATATAAGTATGGTTACACGTGTTCACATGTAAGTATGGTTACACGTGTTCACATGTAAGTATGGTTACACGTATTCACATGTAAGTATGGTTACACGTATTCACATGTAAGTATGGTTACACGTATTCACATGTAAGTATGGTTACACGTATTCACATGTAAGTATGGTTACACGTATTCACATGTAAGTATGGTTACACGTATTCACATGTAAGTGTGGTTACACGTATTCACATGTAAGTGTGGTTAACGTATTCACATGTAAGTGTGGTTGCACGTATTCACATGTAAGTGTGGTTGCACGTATTCACATGTAAGTGTGGTTGCACGTATTCACATGTAAGTGTGGTTGCACGTATTCACATGTAAGTGTGGTTGCACGTATTCACATGTAAGTGTGGTTGCACGTATTCACATGTAAGTGTGGTTGCACGTATTCACATGTAAGTGTGGTTGCACGTATTCACATGTAAGTATGGTTGCACGTATTCACATGTAAGTATGGTTGCACGTATTCACATGTAAGTATGGTTGCACGTATTCACATGTAAGTATGGTTGCACGTATTCACATGCAAGTATGGTTGCACGTATTCACATGCAAGTATGGTTGCACGTATTCACATGCAAGTATGGTTGCACGTATTCAC